GGATTTCCAAAAGGGAGATCTGGAAGCCGAGTGGGCAGGGAGTTGCATTGCCAATCCAAAACACAGATAATCTGAATCTACTAGCTGCTCCTTTGAAGAAAGATTTTACCTCCCATGTGATTTACTGCTTTTGAAAAACCACTGGAGGGTCATCTATGAGTCAATTTTAACTCTGTGGCACATAACAATAAAAACATAAGGTTTCCAAAACTATAAACTCATGATATCTTTCTCCTACAGAGCGGCTGGTGGATTCAAACTGGTCACCTTTTGCTTAGCACTATAACAACTGTGTCACCAGAACTTCTTAGCAGCACATATTTATTTTTAATATTATTTCTTTGTTTAGCTTCTCTAGCTTGGGTATTTTGATGTACCATTCACTAACAAACCAGAAGATGGATTTACCCTGCACTGGTAGAGAAGAAGGAGGCATGGGACGATACAGATATAGCTTTGATTTATGCAATTGTTGTTATGTGCTGTTGAGTCATAGTGACTCTGTGAACAAAGATTCTGAAATGTGCCCCATCATGAGCCATCGTCACCATGTTCAAAATCCCTGACCCCATTGACACAGCCACTGTGTCAATCCATCTCATCGAGGGTCTTCCTCTCTGTGCTTACCTTTTCAAACATGATATCCTTTTCAAGGGACTGGCTGTGGACAACATGCCCAAAATATGAGAAAGAGAGTTTCATCCTTTTTGCCTCCAATGAGCACCCTGGCTTCACTTTCTCTGGGACAGAACTGTTTATTCTCTTGACACTCCATGAAGGTGTTAAACACTCTTTCAAGCACCACAACTCGAAGGTACTTATTTCTTCTCCTGTCATTGCTAGCCATTGTCTAGACTTTTTAAATTTTATTTTATACCGGTTTACTTAGAAAATTTGTATTCATTATTTTTCACACTGCTTATTTCCCCTTTCATTTACCCATCTTTCCCTTCACCCATCAAATTCTGTGATCCTATGATTAAGCCCCCACCTATCCTCACTCTTCTGCTTCCCCCTCCCTGGATCCTTGTACTCATTGTACAATAATGGTCTTATACAATATTTGTCTTTATGAGACTGAGTTAGTTCACTTAGCATGATGCTCTCCAGTCCTTCCCAAGTCAGGAAGTAATTTACAAAATCGTCACTCCTGCATGCCACATTGTATTCCATTGTGTGAATGTACCATAGTTTCTCAATCCAGTTCATTGTCCATATTTGTGCTCCTTCCATGTTCTTGCGGTAGTGAATAACGCTGCTGTGAATATGGGTGTACAGGTCTCTGTGTCTCAGTTCTCATTTTCTTGATGCATAGTGATTAACTGAGAAGACCATGGCTTGGATCAGGTGCACATTAGTCTTTAGACTGACATTATTGCTCTTTAACACTCTAGAGAGACCCTTGGAACAGATTTTCACAACTCAACTCATCTTTTGACTGCCTGACTGTTGGTGCCGACGGTATTGATTGAGAACGAAGTAAGATGAAATCATTAACTTCAATTCTTGTTCCAGTTCTCACCATTCTCCCTTTTGTCCGAGTGGCAAGGGTATTTGGTTTCTGGATGTTGAGAAATAATCCACATAGAAGGCTGCAGTCTTTGATCTTCTAGTATATGCAATTGGTGATGATTAATTAGAGTAATTTAAGACTGCATTTCTATTCTTCCTCTTTGAAGCAGAAATTGATGTGTTTTAGAATGAAGATGTTGTGTTGTTGTTGTTGTTGTTGTTATATGCCATCGAGTCGCTTGTGACTCATAGCGACCCTATGTACAGCAGCCCTAATCTCTACTCTGTCCTGTGCCAATCGCACTGTCACTCACACACCCATCATGATTACCCCAGTCACTGAATCAATCCACCTCATAGAGGGTCTTCCCCTCCTGCGCTATCCCTCCACCCCACCAAGCATGATGTCCCTCTCCAAGGGCTGGTCCCTCTTTACAACATGTCCAAAGTATGTTAGATGGAGCCTCAGAATCCTTGCCTCCAAGGAGTCACCCGGTTTAATCCTTTCCAGGACGAATCTGTTTGTTTTCCTAGCAGTCCATGGTACCTTCAACACTCTTCTCCAGCACCACAGCTCAAAGGCATCAATTCTCCTTCTATCCTCCTTAGTCACTGTCCAACTCTCAGATGCATAATAAGTGATTGCAAAGACCATGACCTGTATCAGACACACCTTAGTCTCCAGAGAGACACCACTGCTCTTCAGTACTTTGGAGAGGTCCCTAACAGCAGACTTTCCCATGGCAATACATCTTTTAATTTCCTGGCTACTGGTGCCAAGAGTGTTGACTGTGGAGCCAAGCGAACTAAAGCTGTGAACAATCTCAGTTTCTTCACCATGCATCCTGATGCTTCCAATTTGTCTAGTGGTGAGAATCTTTGTTTTCTTGACATTGAGCCTCAATCCATATTGGAGGGTGCAGTCTTTGACCCTCTGCAGCAAGCGCTTCAGGTCCTCCTCAGATTCAGCAAGCAAGGTTGTGTCATCCGCATAATGCAGATTGTTGATAGATCTTCCACCAGTCTTGACCCCACATTTCTCCTCATAGAGCCCAGCCTCCTTGATAGGCTGTTTTGCATATCTACAGAATGAAGACAGACATTTGAAATAGAAACTTTAAGATAGTATAAGCAGGCTTGAGATTTGTGTTGTCTGAACATTGTTTAGCATGAGATTCATGCTTTGTTTTAGGTTTTATTTCCTACCCTTTCATTATTATCACTCTTAATTAATCCTCATTCTAGAACCAAATTGCCTACCCACTCTTTTCTGAGTGGAACTTGTTTCACCTTTGGTTACCTTGCCCAAATAGTCATCCTGTCTGTACTTCTCTCATCCTGTCCCCAGATCTTTTATCTTCTACCATGTGATTCAACTTCTGCTATCCCTCTTTGGTTATCTGCCCCTAGCTATGATCCACTGATAAGTATTTAATGACAAAGTAAAACTTGAAACAATAAAAAAAATGTGGTGTCTGCTGCTTCCATGGTGTAAATACAGTCATCATTGACCTATTTTGGGTGACAGACATGATGTCAACTGACTTGCAAAATTCATGAAAATGTAACAAACGCCTGCTTGTAAAAAATGGTGAAGGATTTTGAGATTTTACGATACTGGCAGGTGAACAAGTCAGCCTGCCACAGTGATGTGGACAGCCTGAGGGTTCCAGGCTAGAGAGCTCAGGTTTAAGATGATACAATACAGTGGGTGAATTTCAGCAGAAATGTGACTACAGACTTGTTATTAATTTAACCTTTTGTCTTGGGACTGGTCCTAGATTTAATCATTATTTGTTAAACTGTAGTGCCCTTTTGAGAAAATGTGTATATATTTTGACAATATATTTCTATATATGCCTCATGATTTGAATATGTCTTAGATAGCCTTTCTGTTAAAAATTAGAGAAAATGTAAATGGACTGAAAAGTGAGAGAAAGAGTCAATATAATATAACATACTCATTCTGAAAGTCAAATTCATGTTGAAATTTGTTGTTGTCAGGTGCTGTGATTCAGCCCCAACTCACAACAATCCTACTTGCAGCAGAATGAATGAAATATGAGTCATCCGTAAACCCATTACATAAATTCATAAATATATGTCTATATACATCACTTGGATTCCATAGTAAATATATCAACTCATGGCTGGAGAGTAACGGGTAGTTGAGTTGGTACATATTATGTTAAAATGTCTTACTTTTCTGGTGGCCTAGTGGTAGCAAGTTGTGCTGCAATCCAAAAGACACATGGTTCAAAATCACCCGCTGCTAGGCAGGAGAAGGATGGGCAACCTTCTCCTGTGAGATTTACTGCCTCTGGACTTTCTGGAGGGTCAGCTATGAGTCATTTCTGAATTGATGGCAAAACAACAACAATACGTCTTGAAAAATCTCACTCCCAGAAATACTTTGTAGATGTATTCATCTACATTTTGAATGGTTCAAAATATTCATACTATTGTATGTAATTTATTAAATAAATTTTTATTGATGAAAATGTTTTATTTTTATCTAGGCTTTCCCCCTATTGCATTTAGTGGTACAGTGCACCAACTCCTAATATGAAAATTATCATTTTTTTATAAAACAGATTAGAAGTGATATATGATTATTATGGTTAGCACAGGAATCCAGAATTAAGGTTGCATAGAGAAGTGTACTCGGGGTGGGGGGTGGGGGGAAGGGACGTGGGAATTGTATACTAATGAAGGAATTTTTTTCTTTTTTTTTCTCTCTTCGGAGGGGGAAGCGAGCTGGTGGGGAGGGGTGGGCAGGGAGAAAATTGCGGCAATGAATGAATGGAAATCCAAAACCTCTGTAAAAAAAAAATTAAAAAATTAAAATAAAAAAATAGAGGATTGCCACATTAGATCACACAATGGAGAATGACATCATTACATAGTTGTCAAATTACATAATGATGTAACCATCAAATTACATCATTGCAAAACTCCCCAGTCACTCAGAATCATGACCCAGCCAATCTGACACATAGACTAAACTATTATAATCAACGTTACTATCATCCTTCATTTCAGATTTTGTTACTTTCAAATGCATGCCACCAATAGGCGAGTAATTAGACTGTCATTTTTAAATTGTTATCATACATGCGAGATGTATGAACATGAGAGTTGATAAGTGAAGAGTAAGTTTAATTATACATTTTCAGTGTGAGGTATTTCTATAAGCTAATCTGGTTGATATAAATTTAAAAACAAAAGCCCCTTGTTTTTCAGTCTCTGCGAGGCTGACAGCCTTTGACGACAGCTACTGTAATATCAACAGCCATAAGATGGGTGATGATGACAGTAGCAAGAATGAGGCACAGACCAAGAGCCCCCCAAATCAGTGCGCCTGAGCACCCAGTAGTGCCTGGACTCCCTGGTGCACATCACTTTGCCACAGCAATGCTCGCTGCCATACTGCCAGCAAATGAAGCGGGCAGTGCAGCACTTCAGGGTCTGCAGACGCAGGATCAACGATGGCTGCCTTGTCTGCAAACAGTTCCTCGCCCTCTGCTGCTACCACGCTAAACGCTGTCCCGTGAGCAAATGCCTGTATCCTTCTGCCTTAAGATCAAGCACCGGCTCTGCCAGCAGGAGATCCAGCACCGTCTTCAGTTTCCCATCTCATGCACCATAGAATGGCAGGATGAGTTCCCTAGCAGGCCTAGTCACGTCTGCCTTCTCTTGTCTCAGCACCTCCTGGCATCCCTACTCAGCAGCCAGCACACCCTAGAAACCACATCCCCTGCCCAGCCCCAGCCTTCCCTTTTTTTAAAAAAAATTATTATTTTTATTTTTGTGTGAGTGTACCGTCAAATCAGATCTGACTGGTACGGGAGGAGATTGTCCCTCCTTTTCCCGGCAAAGAATCTGGTGGATTCGAACCGCGTGCTTCTGGGATTCGAACCGCGTGCTTCTGGGATTCGAACCGCGTGCTTCTGGGATTGTACTTGCAGCTCCTTGCCACTAGGCCACCAGAGCTCCCCTCCAGCCTTCCCTTAAGAGCATGAACAAGTTTCCCCAGTGTGATACAGACTCGGTCCCCCATTGCCACGTCTAGAGGCAGGCAGGCAGGCAGTTCTGAAAAAATTGGGAAAGATAAGGAAATAATTCTCCTGAAGCCTGCAGAAGAAACACCTGAACACTTTGGTTTTGACCAAACACACCTCAGACTTCTGAATCTAAATATGTAAGACAATAAATATGTGTTGTCTTTAAAAAGAAAAAAAAAAGCCCAATATTGTTTGCTGACTTACCAGGTGTATTCAGGCCTTGAAAGGTCTAACCACGTATTCCTCACTCTGTTTTCATGGGTAGAATTCCCTTGAACAGAAAAACAAAACAAAACAAAACAAAACAAAAAAACCCAACCAAAAACCAACATCGAAAGTCTTTCTTATCATGAAGGCAGGCGTCTTTCCCAATTATCCCTGAATAATGGTTTCCAGTTACCTTAGTTGTTTCGTGTTATCGAGTTACCAGCAAGTCATAGCGACCCTGTGCGCAACAGCTCTGAACCCTGCGCTATCCTGACCCAGTCTCACTGACTCCAACACACTTAATCCCGTTGCCCCAGGTATCGTGTCAATCCATCTCATTCTGGGTCTTGCTCTCCTGTGCTGTCCCCCCACCCTTTCCAAGCAGCCTGTAGAATTACTTAGAAAAGCATTCTTCCTTGGGAACCAGGGAGCATCCTACCCTTTTGTTGTGACAAAGCTGGCTCGACATGGACTCTGGCTGTTCACAGTCTTCCTAGTGTAGGCGATGTGCAGTATCCTTCCACAGGCTGTGAGTAAATACAATTAAGAAACTGTCGTGAATATTGTCTGGTAGACACGTAGAAACAGACCCACTAAATTTTATACAAAGACAGGCAAACATAGGCCTGAAGTCTTCAGTAGCCTTCTCCAACATCCACAATTCAAAGGCACCAATACTTTAATCTTTCTTATCCATTGTTGAACTTTCACAGAAATAAACAATTGAAAATATTACAACTTGGGTGTATGCGCATAGCTCTTGTTATTTTATCCCATGTTTAGCTTCCCATTATCATGAACTCAGCCAAGACACTGACTTGTATCTTGATTGTAATATTGTAGACTTCTAATTAATTTATTGTTTTCTTTTGCGTTTATCTTTAAATAGAATTGAAACAGAAGAACTAGAAATGGACTGTTGTCTACCTGTATAAAAACTCCATTTGTCATAGAATTAAGTCCAACCTGTCAGAGAACAATTATACTCTACTGGGTTTTTGGTAGTGAATTTTTTTTAACAGATTTCCTAGTCCTTTCCCCAAAATTCTTGCAGGTAGACTTAAACCTCCAAACATGAAGTTAGCTGCTAATTATCAACAAAACTCCCACCAAGGAATGCCTTGCAAATTAAAATAGATAATCAATCTAGTTTGATTTATGCAATTTTGTCTTTTTATTTAGCAATTCCAATTGACTGCTAACCATAAGATTTACTGTTCAAATCCACTCAATGTGTCTGTGAGAGAAAGACCTTGCTATCTATTCCTTCAAATAATGCTGTTGTTATGCACCTTTGAGTCAGAACTTACTCATAACTGACCCTCCAGTGGATTTTTAGAGATGGTAAACCACATGGGAGGAGATGGCCGTCTTTCTCTTGTGGAGCAAATTGTGGATTTGAGTGATGTGGCTTCAGGTTGGCCACACAACTCTTTACCTCTGAGTCACCAGCCTGAGAAATCCTATAGAGTCATTTCTTCTCTGTTACATATTGTCACTATGAGCTGAAAATAGACCTTAAGACACTTGTTAATAACAGAAATAGTATTCAGCAATTTAAATTTCCAATAACTACCACTTTTTAAAAAGTACAAGGAACAGAGGATTGTGTTAAATGCAGCACAGTGAGTTTGTCAGTAACATAGAAAACTCTAGCAGCCAAAATATCACTTTCAAACATGCATAAATTGCAAAGACAAAAAAGAAAATAGTGAATTCCTAAATCAAAAGATAATTAAGAGACATCACAGCTAAATGGTACATTGCAAACTTTGTTCATACCATTACGGCAAAACATAAAGATAGGAGCAAACTGGGGGGAGGGGAGTAAAGAAAAAAGTGCAACAATGTATGAATGAAAATCCAAAATCTCTGTAAATGTTCATTAAAATTAATACAATAAAATTTAAAAAAAACCCCAAATATGAAGTAATTATAGAAATGTGGAACAGTAGGCAAATACTTAGTAAAATTAAGAAAATTTTATTAGTCAAATTAATCACACTATGTTCAAAGAATTTTTGGAACATATTTATAGGTGCAACAATATCTGACACTAGCTTAACTAGAGTGCAAGAAGAATTTAACAAGGAAGTACTCAGTTGTAAAGCAGTCAAAAAAGCCACAAACTGGTAATTGTTGAGATTGGTTGATGAGGACATGGAGATTTATCCTACTTTCTCCATAATTTTAATAGGTGGCAATAAAAAGAAATGCACAGATTTTTATTAAAGCTGTCTTATAAATATTTTTCTCTTTCAATTTAGACTTCCAAACACAATTGAACATTCTTGAAAATAAGACTTCATCTTCTAGTCCAACTGGCAACAATGAAACTGAGCAAGGTGAGTGTATTCCTGAATTATTGTCTTTGGAACTGGAACACAGATGAAGACAATTCATATCTCACAGAGGAGGCAACTGCAAAGAGAATAGTCCTTCCAAAAAGAAAACTTTCTAGACCCAAGGGGATCACGTAGGTGAAAGGAGCAAGTCAGTAAGGAAAACCATCTGCACAGTTATTAGGAATTTTTTTTCTAAGTGTTAAACCATAATAGTGACAGTATAATAGCAAGGTATTACTGCAGTTGTGCAGTAGAGTCAGTTTTCACACACCCATGACAGTCAACTGTATATACGATCATTATAAGGAGCTCCAGCAGCCTAATGGTAAGAAGCTGCACTGCAATCCCAAAGGCATGTGTTTCAAATCCCCGAACTGCTCTGTTGGGGAAGAAGGAACAGTCTCCTGTGCGATTACCTGCCTCTGAAAACCCATTGGAGGATCAACTATGAGTTGGTTCTGACTTAGTGGCACACAACAACAATTTTGGTGGAAACCTGAAACCAGCTAGGGTTGTGGTGTCCTTCTCACCAGCTGGTTCTTAAACTTTGAGTAGCTGTAAACGGCTAATTGTTGATATTGGTTGATGGGCACATGGAGAGGCTTATTCAACTTTTTGAGCTTGTTGGTGGGCACATGAAGGCTTATTCTACTCCATCTTTAATGTCAATGAGTAACAAGAAAATGAAATATACAATTTGTGATTTAATGCTATTATAAACATTTTTCTCTTTCATCATTGCAAATGTTACGTGCTACCAAAACTGGTTTAACTAGAGACCCCACATGATAAAGGATAACTGAGCGGTAGAGGCTTTTAGGCTTTAATCTTTAGAAGAGCAGATTACCACTTTGTTGTCCTGTGAAGCCACTAGGTGAGTTCTAATTGCCAGCCTTTATGTAAATAAACAGTTGCTTAATCATTATGCTTCCAGGTCTACTCACCCTTCAACACAATCATACACATTTCCCTAAAAAAACCCCTTATGTAGTTATATCTTAAATTTTGCACCACAGGGCCCACTGGCAGCACCATGATAGATGGGGCAGAGATTGAGGTTGTTAACAATTACAGCTTATTTGGCTCCACAGTCAACACTCTTGGCACCAGTAGTCAGAGAATCAAAAGAAAAACAAATTGCACTGGGAAGATCTGCTGTCAGGGATCCCTCCATAGTATTGAAAAGCAATGATACCAGTCTAGAAACTAAGGTGATCTAGGCCATGGACTTTGCAATTACTTTCTATACATCAGAGAGCTGGATAATTATGAAGAATTACAGAATAAGACACTATGCCTTCTAGTTGTGAAATGGAGAATAGTCTTGAACATACTATGGACCATAAAAAAAAAAATAGAGGAGTCTTGGGGAGGGTGAAACTAAATTTCTCCTTGGAGGCTAGGATTTTGAAGCTCCATCTAACCTGCATTGGGTACGTGGCCAGGTGGGTCCAGCCCTTAGAGAAGGACATCATGCTCAGAAGTGTGGAGTGCAGGAGAGAAAGACCCTGGGTGAGATGGATTGATACAGTGACTGGAGTAATGAGAGTAGATGTGTTGGAATCAATGACACTGACTTAGGACAAGGCAGGCTTCAGAGCTGTTGTTCATAGGGTTCCTATGATTCACAGGCAACTCGACAGCACATAGCAACAACAACTTTACTATACTATTTTGTATCCTAAAGTTTATCAACTTTTACTCTTCCTAAAGTAGGCTAGGGAAGCTCCAGTGGCCTAATGACAAGAAGCTGCACTGCAATCCTGAAGGCATGCTTTTCGAGGCCACCAGCTGCTCCTTGGGAGAAGGATGGGCAATCTCCTCCTGTGCGGATAATTGCTTCTGAAAACCTACTGGATGGTTAGCTATGGGTTGGTTCTGACTCTATGGTATACAACAACAACAACAACAAAGTAGACTAAGTTATATATTTGCATCAAGCAGCGGTCTTTTTAATGTGGCACAAAGGCTAGAAATATTCAAAGTTTTTAATAAATTAAAACAGAAAGATGATTTTTTTTTTGGAACAGGTGAAAAATGGACAATAGAGACTACCTATGGCCCACACAGTTTCATTTGTATTTTACTATCTTACTTTAATAAGAAGCAAAACAAAACAAACTAACAAAGTGCCAATTGAAGCTATAAAACATAACCTCGAGTTCTTTAACTTGGAATAATTGATAATCTTTATCTCAATTATCTATTGGCCACTGTTGCTATTTAACAGTCAACTTCACTAATATAGGAAGTGTGGCGTTGTAGGAAGTAATTCAAACTCATTTGTTTGTGATCTTGATGAGTGCTTCTGTTGATCTAGCAGGTCTCAGTATGGCTAGTGCATACTAAGTGTGTACATCTTCAGTGAACAACAAATTAATTGAGCTCAAAGGGTGATCTTGCTCATTTTGAGTGGACTCTTTTCCACAGAGTTAGAGTCCTTGCTAGGAACACTGGGTTGATGAGGACATCATCTCGACCTTCCTACTCCAGCAGGCTAGGATGAACTTGCTTTCATTGTGTTGACCTCCACCAACATGGATTCTCACAGTGAGTGAAGCAATGAATTCAGGCGTAACAGATATGGTGAGGATGGCACAGGATAGGGCAGGATTCAGATCTGTTGTTCGTAGGGTTGTTATGAGTTGTACTCAACTTGACAGTACCTAACAACAGCAACACATTGTGTTGGCAAGGTGTGAAGACACCAGAAACACACACACACAAACCTTCTTAATGTCATCTCAGAAGTGTTGTGTGGTTGTTTAGTATCATCGAGTTGGAACTGACCCATAGCTGACCATCTGGCTGGTCTTCAGAGGCAGTTAATCACATGGCAGGAGCTGGGGTCTCAGAACCAGCTTATTCTTATTTCTGCTAAATGTTTCTGAGCAAACAAAGCCACAGGGATTCAAGGGCAAAGAACTCCACTTTTTGATAGGAGATGCTGCAAAGTCATTGGCAGGAAGGGATTATTGGAACCATTATTGCAATCAAATTGAAACAGTCACATTTTTAATTATGGATTAAAATTTCATATAGGATGACTACTCTTGGGTAAAAATTTTGCACTCCAATATCACCACATTTATTTTCAAATTACTCTAATGACTTAGCTGCTTAGTTCTTCATTCACTTTATCAATATTAATTAAAAAATCATATCGTCTTGTTTTTCAGAGAGTCTGATTCCTGAAGATGTTAATTAGAAAGACTAATAGTTCCAAGAATTTGGAGAGCAGAGTTAGTGATTTTCCTTTGAATGGCCTGATTTAAGTCTACTTACTTTGTATTGGAACAGAAAGTCACCCATATAAAGCAGTTTTAAAGCAAATTTTCTTGTGTTATGGTGCATCAGGAGAAGGCTAATCATATTGGATATACCTCAGGCTAACCACTTTCAGTCTATGCAATGGAGGGTTAAATGCTGTTAGATACAATCACATAGTACATGAATCAGTGGGAGGCTGTGTTATATGATGATGGATAAGAAAGGAAAATAGGTTTGGTTGACTCCTTGTAACATAACATGAGTTAAATGAATTGTCTTTCAAAATATTCTTTATTAGCAAATTAAGAATTCTGTGCACTTAAATGTCATGAAAATATTCCAAATGCTGGCATTCACTGTTAAAGTGAACTACAATTTTTTGGCATCGTACCATTACTAAACTCCCTATTCTCCATGCCCAGTCACTATAGAGAATATTCAGCTCACCAACCAAAGCAATCCAATATTTGTGTTCAAGCCATGGGAATATATCAGGTCTTAGTGTTTATTACTAGATCTTGACATATATTAAGCTTTAAAGCCCAAAGCAATCTTAGCTAAATGATGTGTCGAACTTTATGGACTCACAGTTGAGAAAGTTTGATCATCACATGAAAACAGCACGAGACCATATTTACTAACTTTTACCAGACTATAAAAGGCACCCTGGTGACATTGTGCATAGATGTTTATTAGCTGCTCCATGAAAAGTTGATGGTTCAAATCCATTAGTCTCTCCATGGGAGAAAGATGGTCAGTGTCCTTAAACATTTATAACCTTAGAAATGTGATAGGACATCACAATTCAGAAGCAATCAGAAAGAAGAGTCCTGGGTCCTGGTGGTGTAGTGCTTAATGTGTGAGGGTGCTAATCAAAAAGGTTTGTGGATTGAATCCACCAGCTGCTCCATGGGAGAAAGACAGTCTACTTCTGTAGAGATTTTCAGTCTTGGAAATTTGGTGGACATTTTTACTCTGTCCAATAAGAACAAGATGATTAGGAATCTATTATCGATTAGTGGAAGACTTGACTATAATTAACACAAGATTGCTTCAATACCCATACTAAATTCTTTCCTCCTGATATGTCAATAGTCATGAAAGTGCTTTTGTTATTTAAAAGTTCTCTAATTCCATAGTTAAATGTAAGTAATTTAGTGGCTTTCTTTTGAATAATGAAATAGTAGTAGTTGGATAATAATAAATTTTGGCTCTCAATTGAAATAGGTACTAAAGCATGTTGTCAGATTTTTCCTAAATATTCTCCTCAGTCACAGCTATTATCTACAACATGCTGACATGCAGAGATTTTCTTTTCTTTCACATGACTCATATTTAAAAACTTTAAGTTTTGTAGTCCAGTGAAAACTGTGAGGGCTGGAATTTGATCAGTCTTGCTATCTTATGTCTTACAAGCTTTCTGCTTTTGATAGGGGCTTGCTACTTTTAAAAAATTATATTTTCACTTCAGCAAAAATTTACAGAGCAAATTGGTTTTTCACTTAACAATTCATATTCATTATGCTTCACAGTATAGATTACAATCCCCATATAGTAATAGCACTCTTGCCACTTTCTCTGTTATCATAAATAATATTTAGTTTTATGTATTAGAATAGATGTGGATGCTCATTATATACCCTACAACCTCTGACTTCAGTTAATTCTGACTTATGGTGACATCATGTACCCATCTCTAGTCAGGTTTCTGAGGTGTAAGCCTTGTCTTC